TTATGTCAACCAAACAAGATTATAGCATTTCCTAGGAATTTTAAATTCGATTTTTTTCACTATATACCCCTGAAAAAAATTTAAATTCACCATATACCCCTGAGTTGTTACAAAAATTCACTATATATCCCTAATGACAACAAGATGAGTGGAATTTGGTTAATTAAGCATCAAAATCACCTTAGATTTCTCCCCTCCTATCCCTGAAACCACTCCTCTCCTTTATTCAACTCTCAATATCATTCCAAATCCCCATAACCATATCCTTATGATTAATGTTGAGGATGAGAAAGGAAATTTGGGGTGGTTTTGGGGTGAACCGTGGGTAAAAGGAATGTGGGTGGTTTCAGAGGTAAGAGAATGCATATAGGGTGGTTCGAGTCATAATTAACCATAATAACTGACGTAGTTAACAATCATTAGTCATCAAAGGTATAGGGTGTATATTTTGTGAAAATTCGGGAGTATATGATGAATTTATAAAGGTTTAGGGGTATATGGTGGATAAACAAAAAACTCAGGGATATATGGTGAAAAAACCAATTTTAAATTCCCATAAATTTTAATTGTCTATGGGAATTTACTTCCCATATGCAACCAAACAAAGCCCTAGAGTATGTCATACTTCGTTTGATTACGTAGGTTGGTTTTCTTTTAGGTTTGACTTTCTATGTTCTAATGCTTTAAATATAAAAAAATATCAAAAATAATACAAATTTGAGCATTCCGCCAATAAAAGTCAACCTTTTGATTATTCTGAATAATATGGAGTATTAATTTAGAATGCATGACAAAATCACATGTAAATAAGTGTAATTATGTTATATTTTCATGATAGCGTATTGGGTGTGGATGCCCGCACACAAATTTCTGTGCAGATGGCTTGGCTGATATGTTTTACTTGTTGCCTTATATGTTTCATGTGTTAGCTGATATGTTTCATTTGTTGGCTGATATGATTTTTGTGTTGGCTAAGATATTCTTTTTTGTGGGCTGATATATTCTTTTTAATTATAATAAGTTCTTTTTGTTGGCTGATATCAAACATCATTTGGCTTATATATTTCTTTAGTTGGTTGTATTTTAATTATTGGCTTATATGTTTAATTTTGTAGGCTGATATGTTTATTTTGTTGGCTAACCTGTTGCTTTTCTTTGTTGATTTCATCCTTTTGTTAGCTGATACGCTCCATTTGTTGGTTTAGATATTTCTCTTGTTGGCTGATATGTATCTTTTGTTGGCTCATAGAGTTCTTTTGTTTGCTGATTTCATCCTTTTGTTAGTTGATATGCTTCATTTATTGGCTGATATGTTCCTTCTGTTGGCTTATTTGTACATTTTGGTGGCTGATATATTCCTCTTTTTGGCTGATATGTATCTTTTGTTGGCTAATACGTTTATTCATGTCTGATACGTCTCTAATGTTCACTAATATCAGACATCAATTGGATTATTATATGTCATTTTTATTGGCTTAGTTGTGTCATTTATTAGCTTAATAATTAACAACATATTTTTGTTTCCTTCTATCTCATTTTCCACCCTCTTCCTCTCTTTCTTTCAAATTTATCAGTTAACAACCCTCTCAAACTACACTCTCAAACTCCAAACTCAACCACCACCTTCCTGACCCAATTCACCAACACCAACAAATCACCCCGTCACCCCGCAACAACAAACACCACCAAATCAGCCCACATCGCCACCACCTCCACCCAAAATACAGCCGCACCTTTTCACTGCAAATACCCTGCCACCGCCATTAACAGCGAACCACATATATGCACCAAGAAGCCACCAAATCGCCATTGAATCGGCTAGAAAATTGCCACCACCAAATCACCCAAATCGCCACCACCAATATGCACCAAGTAGCCACCAAATCGCCAGAAATATCGCACCCAAATTGCACCCGAATCTCCATCAAAAAATGCACCACCAAATCGTCACCAAATAGCACCAAATCAACCCAAATCGCACCACTAAAATACACCACCAAATCGCAGGAGAGGGAAGGGAAGAGAAGAAGGAAAGAGAGAGAGAAGGGAAGAGAAGAAGAAGAGAGAGAGAGAGAGAGAGGAAGGAGGAGAGAAGCCACACGAACTGTTGGGTGTGGGTGCTCGCACCGAATAGTTTGCGTATCTTCATTTGTTTTTTCAATTTTTAGTTCCTTTATAGCCCATGTAGAGGTGATCAATGGCCCGACCTAATAGGGCGGGTTTGGGTAAACCAAAGGCAAATTCTTGGCTGCATTCTAATGCAACCAAGCTAGCTGCAACAACCTCCATATTATTTTTTGAGGAGAGATGCAACAGCCTTAAATATGAATATATAGTACATAAAAAATGAACATACGTTTTTTTTTTCTCCTCTTTATATCTTAACTCTTTCTCTCTCTCTCTTTTGTTTTCTTCTCAATTCAAAATCTTCTCTCTCCTCTTTTACTCCTTTCCTTATAAGTTTACCTCACTTTTCTTCGATCTTTAAACTTCTTTGTCTTACTTCGGATATTCTCCAATTGTCACTAGTGTAGCATTCTCCATCGTTGTCATCTTCGTCGCGGTCATGAATCTTGGGGTTTTTTTTTTTTTTTTTTTTTTTGTGTTTATAAATATGTGAATGTTGTAAAATTGTTGATTTCTATTAATTTGTATTTGTGATTCCAAATCTATCATGTTATAGATCGATAATTAGTGTCTCTATGATGAACCAAGATTAGATTTAAGGTGGATATTCAAATTTTTAGAGTCAAAATAATTACAATCGAACTTGTGTATAATTTTTGTAAGAAAATGAACACGGAGTACTTTAAATTTTTTAATTTTGTACAAAATGAACATTTAATACACTAAAAATGAACATTTAGTACATAAAAAATAACATGATTTAACAATTTATATTAGCTTTATTTTTCGTGAATTATTAATACAATGAATTTGAACCTGTATGAATATATGAAAAATCATGTCACGAAAAACATGTAAAAAATGAACACATCCAAAAAAAAATTATGAACATTTGGCATATTAAAAATTTATTCAAATAAAAAAAAAGTCTATTAAAAATGAGTAAATTTTGTCAACAACTACCAAATTAAGTCTTTGTTTTGAAAACAACTACCTTTTAATTTTTATTTAAAAACAATTACCACAAACTTGTAACAAGTTAGAATAGCACTACCAATCTTAAATTTCCGGCAATTTCTCCCTTTCCCTCCAATTTTTGTTTCTCTCTCCTCTCTATATAACCGCTAATGTTCGTTTTCCAATTGAACAAAATTTCTTAATTTTTTCTTCCTAATTTCTTCCTTTTTTCAAAAATTGAGCAAGAGGAATAATTTCTGTAACATTACATCAGGTAATTTGAGAATTTTATATGCTAAGTAGGGTTTTTAATGACTCGAAATTGGGGAAACTAGGGTTTCACAATTTTTTGCGTTTTGGGTAAATTGAATGGATTTATCGACATTAGGGTTTATTAATTGGTTGTTATCCATGTATTTGCAGGTGGAATTTGTCCTTCAGCAGCTGTCACCATCTTCCCTTTCTCCATTAAAGCTCCAGCTTTCCCAAATTAGAAACGACAACTCCAATTTGGTTGAAAGTTTGGACCACCGCGACAGAGAGAAAACGTGAGGAACAGTGGGGTAAGTTCAATGACCTAGCTAGATTAAAGTGTGAGGTGAATATTCTATGTGAATTTTAGAGGTTGTTGAAAATGGAGATAAGGGATAGTATAGCGGAGTTAGGCGGGAATTCAATGAAGAGAAGGGAAGGTAGTTGGGTCTAGAATAAAAGAGGGGTAATTAGGTAAATTCGGATGGTCAAATTGGAGGGAAAGGGAGAAAGTGGGACCCACTCACCGGAGATTTTTGCCGGAAATTTAAGAGTGGTAGTGCTACTCTAACTTTTTACAAGTTTGTGGTAGTTGTTTTTAAATTTTTTTTAAAAGGTAGCTGTTTTCAAAACAGAGACTTAAATTGGTAGTTGTTGACAAAATTTTCTCATTTTTAATATACTTTTTTTTTTTAATAAACTTTTAATACTCCTTCCGCCCACAATTATCTGCACCAAACCTCATTTTTGCGGACTTCTAGGCAAAAATTTTAGTGGAGTTTAATTAATTTTGGGTGGGTTTAATTAAGTGGGATAAAAGGAGGGAAAGAAGTGGTCCCTTATTTTTTTTGGTTTTAGGTGGGTTAAAGTGAGTGAGAAAAAAGGTGAAAAATTGAGGGGCCTCTTTTATGAGTGGAAAAAAGGTGAAAAATTGAGTGTAATTAAAAGATGTTAAACAAAGTTAAAAAAATAAAAGTAAGGATAAGGTGGTCTTTTTACTCTTTAAAATTTACTAAAAGTGGAAAGAAAAAAATTTGTTGCACATAATAGAGAGCACCTATGGCAAATATTGCAGATAATTGTGGGCGGAGGGAGTATACTGCATGTTCATAATTTTTTTAGACGTGTTCATTTTTTACGTGTATTTTTTTAATACTAAATATTCATTTATTTAGTGTGTTCATATATTTTTATGAAATGTTCATTTTATTTGATATTGTCTAGCTCTTTTATGGTTGTACGATATATGTTCATTTCTAATATACTAATTGTTCATTTATTTTTGACGTGTTCACTTTTATTGCTAAATGTTCATTTTTTATTACTGAATATTTTTTTTACGTGTTCATTTTTTTTTACTAAATGTTCATTTTTAAGGTTGTGATCTAGCAAATTTATGATTATATGATAATCATGTTCATTTTTAATAAATGACCATTTTTTTTATAAAATTTTAATTTTTTAGTATTAAATGTTCATTTTTTTTTTCATATTCATATTTTTTAACTAAATGTTCATTTTATAGAGCATGGTATTGATTTGGGCGGATATGTTGTCTGGGTTGTTTGATTTGGGCCGCGCGTTTTGGGCCTTGTTGCAGCTAGAATTTGTATATACCCGAAAGATAAGGGCTTTTCTTCTTCCCCTAAATATACAGGCTTATTTGTAACATTTTGAAATAGAAAAATGAAACATTAAATGTATGAGAATGTGAAACAAATAGAATCAATGAATAAAGAGACGAGCAAATTACATTATTTTATCATACACCACTTACATTTCAACGGCTTGTCAAAAGACTCGAAACCAACATCTCAATCCTATTATCTAGTAACAAATGGGCATCCTGCTTCCAGTTTCATTCATCCTCTGCTATGAAGTTTGGAGCTTCACCTTGGCAGATGTACTCATCACAAACCGACAACGTCCCCCAACCCTTTCTTAGCCGCAGTATATCTTCAGTGAATGTAGATCCCGATGATCCAATGAACACACTAGACATCGCACATATTGTTTTATCCAGCATGGCTTCCACCTTCATAGTCCAAAAAATGCAAATGTTACATTGGTAGCAGAAATTGGTAAACTCACAGAATGCACTACCATATATATATATATATATATACACACACACACACACACACACACCCAATTGAAAGGGGAAAAGATCAAAGAATGGGTGGTAGCAGAAACAAGTTGACAGCACTCAAAATTTGCAGAACCTTAGTTGAGCAATGAGCACACACATTTCCCCCCTTACTCAGAACTTTGTTAATTTTCCACAAAAATGGTAGCAGATGAAAATAGGCAATTAGGCACAGCCAACCTGTAAAACCCCACAACTTGATAATGCCTATAAGCCCTTAAACACTGGTTTAATTACACGGGAAAAAAATAAACACACTTAACTAATGATACGGATATTAGCAGGTAAAAGAAACCAAATGGATTCCTTAATATAACAATCAGGTCAGAGCAAATAAACTCACCTGGGAATCATCCGCAAGACCATGTCTGTACAGCAAGGCATCCCATTTTTCAGCTGAATTCCGAGCTGGCCGCTGAACAAGAGGTACAGGCTTACCATCAATCACAACCAGAGATTGAAGCAATCCTGTTTCACTATCTGCCGCATCTGTGGAAAGATATATGACTGGTGTATTAGCCCTTGCTACCACCCGTGCAACACAGCTTGCAGCTTGAGGAATAGAAAAAAAACAGCTTGGATTCTTAGCATTGCTGAAAACCCAAGTAAACATAAGGTTAGAGGCTGAGTGATGCAGAATACTAGCTGTACATTATCAGAAATTGGATAGAACCAGACATACTAGACCCAAAAGTTCATATATGTTGCAATAGTAGATCAGATGCAGTAAAGACAATATAATCAAGTATATTGCATGCACAACCAAAGTGCCAAAGGCTAATGGCCATCAATGAGTGAGTTCTATATAGTAAATCAAATTTGAGTGCATTCAGACATAAAGATCCCTACAATCCCACAAGAGCTTTATTTCAGACACCTGTTGACCTTCAGCAATCATTTCTCAACACTTGCAGTGCTCTCTTAACCTTGATGACATGTAAGAAAATCAACTTGCTTTCAAGTGTTTAGAATTGAGTACATAACTTCAAAGGAAAATAAAAACAAAAATAGGTGGACAGTTATGGTGGTTGAAGCAGGAGGAATGGGTGCATTATTAGGGAGTGGTAGGAGCTATTATCTTAATTGAAGAAATAAATTTACCACTGCCTTGATCCTACCTCGAATACCACCATTTCCACTCTCTTTTCTGCTCATAATTATCTCTTAGTACACCCTTAATTCGTTACTATCTATCCAAGCATGCCATCAGAAGTTAAAATAAAATCCAACAAGCAGCAGCCACAGCTTTTGAAGGGTGTTACTTTTAGTGTTTATTCATGTTTACATGATTAAAAACAACATGAACAGATGACACTTCACAACACAAACCTCTATTACAACCAATTTTTGACTGTTATTGCTTACACGGACAAATTAAAAACAATTCATACAACAGACCAAGTTCAAGCAGTTGTTCTCTCTAAATCAAAGAAATGCAATATACTATTATAAAAACAATCTCCAGTCGTAAGTGAGCCAGTCATTCAGTCACTAATGAAACAAACCAAATCAGGAAAGTAAGAATCAAGCTAATAAAAGTATCCAAGTCGGGTATAACCTGGATTCTGGAACCAGAAAAGGGTACAGGAATTAGTTTGCTACTTAAATTTCAAAACTTCAAGTTCATAAGATTAAGTGTGTTACTTTTTTAAGGGATGATTGGCGATGGAAGGAGGGGGTAACGGGTACACTAATCCATATCCAACAAGATTTAGAGATAACACAATACATAACCACTTATCATCTAAGCATACTCTGATTAAAAATGAGGCATATAAATTCACGTCTGCCTTCTGCATATGATGAAAATAAAGTTAATAAGTAAAAGGTACAAAACATACCAAAACTTTAACCAGCCATGCCTCCGGAAATGAAGGGCAACAAAGTCCTTCCCTAAAAAGGTTTGGACAAAGCGCTGGGCAGTGATCATTATAAGTCGGCTGGGTTCAATCAAAGTTTTGCAATTATGGGCAATCGGACCTCCTGGCTGCATCACCCAGTCCTTTTCCACATCAGCAAAGAACACATCTCCAATTGCAATAACCCCTTCATCAGAAGAAAATTTGGCTTTGACATCTTCAACTGTTCTTTTCTTTGGTTTCTTTACGTCTTCCTCCCAAGGTGACTCGAGTTTGGGAACGGATAACCCCAGAGATTTCAATTTCTTCACATGCTCTTCATCAACATAACACTTTTGAGGCTGCGAGAAGTAGCAAATGAACCTATCAATACGTAATTCCTTCTTCTTCGCCTCCAAAAACTCTTCATACGTGACAACAGCCTTCTTACCAAGACACTTGTTTATATGCTCAATATCCAACACCCGATTAAACTCATAATCCACCTTATGACTCGGAACAACCAAAATTCGATCCAAAAGCGCTGCAAAAAACATATGCTTCTCCAGGCAAATCAAATGATTCGACATTTGCCCCGACAAACAAATAGCAAACAAGTACTTATCCGACCTCGGATTCCATTCAATGGTTTTCCTCTCGGAGAACTTTTGATCCACCTTCCCACAAATATTAACACCTCCCTCAACCATATCATCATTTCCGACACCCGATTCCGAAACATTCCCATTTTTGTGAGTTGACAACAACACCTTTTGAATTTCCTTATTCAACATAATCCCATCAAAAATTTTAGATTTCAGGTCCTCAAAAACAGACTTCTCAACAGGCATCTCACTCAAATTCAAATACCCAGAAGCATTATTATGATTACTAGAACTATAATTCAATCCAATCCCTAATGAAGTTCCCAATGTACTATTCAACAAAGAAATTAAACCTAATTGCTGCTCTTTCAAAAGATACAAAGCCCTTAATTCCGATTCCCTCATTCGATCAGAAGGAGATTTAATCAAATTAACATCCCAAACACTTGAATTATGAAAACCTAACGAAAAATATAGAAATACAACTAAAAAAAGAATTAAAATCACCAGAAGATACCTCTTCCTATTCATCTTAAAACGCCGTCGTACCGACGACACGAAACCAGTGTCTTCAACGTGAAAAGGGGAAAATGAGTGTGAATTAGAGGTGGGTTTGACGGCGTCGTTTTGAGGAATCAAATTCCGGCGATCCTCTTCCTCATCTTCTGAAGAAACACCTTCTCTCCCAAGCTCTTTCATCATTGATTTTAACAAATTCCCAACAAAAATTCAACGAAATTTCATAAATTTAGACATACCCAGTTGAAGAATTAGCTCAAGGAATCAAAAATTGTTTCTGGGTGTTCTGAATTTTGATTGAATACAATGTAAATTGGAAATTTGTAGGAAATTAGAAGATGGGTTTTGAACTATTGATTAAGATTGAAATTTCAGGTGGGAAGTTATATTTAGAGTGAAAGATCTGCTCGACAGATAGAGAAGAAAGAGAGAGAGAGGAGAGAGTGAGAGAGAGAGAGAGAGAGAGGTGGTTAAGCTTGATTTGGTTTGGTTGAGTGGAGAATTAAGAAAGAAGCATAATCGATTAATCATGTGAAATTCGTCGGTGGTAGAAGAAAAGGAAGAAGGTGACAGTTAATCTACACTTCACAACGATAGCCTACTTGGCCCATTCAACAAAATATTCACAAACCTTTGTACTCGTACCAATGTTCAGGAGTGTAAACTTATTGCTTATTCGTAATTTAGAAATAATCCGATTCGATCTGATCTGATTAATGATTATGTATTTGGATTATTGTAAATTATTTTTAATTTATAATATAAGTATTAATGAATTTCATATAATAAAAAATTAAATAATGCAAAATGATACTTTTTAAAATTTAGTTAGGTTACGAAATCATATCGTATTAGATTAGATCAGGTGAGCTAAACACCTAAACATATCTTTGGTATATGAATTTCGATCAAATGTCCGCTTTAAGTATTATAACTTCGGGGTATTGATTGTAATTGTTGGAACAAAGTTGTTTTAAGTGTGAATTTGTGAAAATGGTAAACTCCCACATTGGTGGGAAGTAAGAATGTTGCTTGGTTTATATAGGTATGTGTCTTCTAAAGGGGTGTGGCCCTTGGGCTACCCACATTTTGTGGAGAGGAAGGACTTACCTACCAAACCAATATAACTCACGCGCGTCAAACCGGGCTGGGTTGGGTTGGGTTTCTTAAACTGATTTAAATTTTTTGAACAAGGATTAATTCCTTGATTTTGTAACAGATTTACTAATTAATTTTTTTGGCTGTTACGTTTTAATTGTGTCCGTTTTGTTTTGACTGTTTTTACAACGGTTAATTAAGGTTTTGATTATGTCCGTTAATTGCGTGATTTTTGCTGTTCGAAAACCGTCCAGGTTCACTTTGCTAACCAATATAAATTGGTGATCTTCCTTCACGGTTTTACACACAACCACAACCAGAAAAACAATTTCAAAGAGTTTTACAGAAAAACATAAAAAACCCGCTTACAGTTTATTCTTCAGAAATTATTCAAGCAGTGTTCCTTATATTGGTGTTTAGTTGTCCGGTGGTTCTGTGCAAATCCATCGGTTTAATTTTCTTTTCCGAAAGACTGTTTTATCCTGGGGAGCATCCGGTTATTGTACGAGCTGCTTGCACACATTGAAGGCAGTACCGTGAATGTTCTAAAGACAGCGACATAGTCCGCGACTCAGTCTTATCCCGGTAACCTTGTTCTATTTTATTGTTTGCAGCAGTTCGGTTTATAACAGTAATAATAGGAATGGATAAATGAATACATGGTTTAGATTTTGTGAAATGATATTGATTATTTAAGATTGATTTAGATTTCAATTGTGAATTGTGAAAGATTAATTTGGATTTCAACGTGAAACTTGTGTTGAAACTTGAAACAAAGAAAATAAAAGGAAAAGAACCTATCACCAAAAAAAAAAGAAAAGGGGGTAACAGGAAAAGAAGATCAATGTTGATAGAATTAGATACAGTATACATGACCTCAAATCGACAAATTATGATCACGAAGAAATTGGCAATTTTTGTGTAACCTTGTGAGAATTGACATGCTATCCATATGCTTCTATGTCCAAAGTTGGATAGTTCATAACATCATATCATGTTAATGAACAATTAAGGCTTTGTTTGATTCAAAATTTGTTTCAACTTAATTTTTTTTTTTACTACTTTATTTTAAGTTATCATTGTAATCGAACTTATTTTGTCTAAATTTATTTTTAATATAGAGTATTAAATTTCTTTGCTAGTCCGACTTATTTTTGAACAAGTTTGGACATATTTTAAAATTTAACAAAACCAAACTTACCTTTGCTCCATTCTCTCAATACCAACCTTTAAATCTGCCCAAAATAAATCCAAATTTGTATTTTTTTTCTCCCGTAGCAAACCCAAATGACTTGTGATCACCTAAACAACCGGTCATTTTTTTTATTTCTTTTCATTTAATTATCTTTTTTAAATTTAAAAAAATAACCAAATAAAATAAAATATATATTTAAAAAAAAAAAAAAAAAAAACTCTTACTCACTGCCAGCCCCTTCTTCCCTATATCAACCCCTTTCCCCTGAAATTTTCTTTGTGGAGGCGGATGTTCCAAGTATGTACATCCGGATTTTTGATAAAAGGCAGAATGAACATATAGTTGTTTTGTAAAGAACTTATACCTGTTTTACAAAAAACATCCAGCTTTATGTTCTTTTTGTATATCTAAAGAACATCCATAATATTAATAAATAACATGATAATATTATGTAATGAACATTATACATATTCACCCACCATAATCTAAAAACAAAATTTAAAGAACATTTCACAGTAAACAATAAATATTATGTCACAAATAAAAATATATTACACTGACAATCAAATAACATGAGATAAAGAATATTATTTAACAGTGTGTTCTTTATAAAATAGTGTCATGTTCATTGTTATTAATAGCTTTATGCTTTTTTTTTTGGAAAATTTAACAAGAATAATCCAACCTTTGCTCGATTCTCCCAAATTAATCCAACCTTTCGATTATTTTTTAATAATCCAACCTTTGCTACCCATTTTCTCGTAGCAACCCCAACAGGTCACCCCACACATACAACCGGTTGTCAATCCACATGTCACTTCCTCATTGGTTAAATATTTTTATTTTTAACTTTAAAAATATTAATTTAATTTTAATCTTTTGATTCTAATAATAATTATATATATAAAAAAAAACCTACTTTCTTATATCTCCCTCCTGCTCCTTTCATGGCCACCATTAACAGACCCCATCCACCACCGTCACTTTTATAGCCACCACTAACACAGTCCACAACCGGCCTCACTTCCACCACCCAAGCATAAAAAAATCCCACCCCTTCCACAACACAGACAGCCTCCCAGCACCACACACGCCACCACAAACCTCAAAACACCACAACCAACATAACCCGACCCCCAACCACAACACACTTCACCCCCATCCACGACTCACCCCTAACCTACAATCATGACCCACCTCCAACCCTTGATCCCTAATCCATGACCCAACACCAAAGGCACCAGCCCACCACCTATACCACCTCACCAAATCCCATTCCGACCATTTACACGAACATTACAACCATAACCACGACCAACATCAAATCAATAACATCAACATTTCTAAATGAGGAAAGAGAAATTGTGGGGGTTTGGATTTCTTTGGTATTACAATTAATTATAGTTTTGAGATTTGGGGTGGATTCTATCCAAATAGGGTGGCGAGAGGGGTGGGTAGCAGTATCTTGTGGTGGTCGGAGGAGAATTGGAGAAGGGGTTGGTTGTGGTTGTGGGGTCGAGGGATGAAGAATATGGGTGATGGTTGTTGTACTTGAAGGTGGAAAGGTGTTAAAGAGGTAGGAGGAAGGAGGAGAGAGATAGGAAGCCATTGTTGATGGTTGGGTAGTGGGTTGGACTGCCATCCATTGATGTTAGTAAGGAGGAAAAAGGATGAGGGAATAGGAGAGGATGGCAGTAAGGAGGAAGAAGGTTGAGGGAATAGGAGGAAAAAAAAAGAAAAAAAAATATTTTAGCTGATATTTAGGTAATCGGTCACATAGGTTTGCTACAAGAAAATGGGTGGCAAAGGTTGGATTATTAAAAAATAATCGAAAGGTTGGATTAATTTGGGAGAATCGAGCAAATGTTGGATTATTCTTGTTAAATTTTCCTTTTATTTTATTTTTTTTTATTTTTTATCTCTTATTTTTTTTTATCACGTTCATTACATTTTAACAATATGTTCTTTTCACTTTAGATATATGTTCTTTACAATTCTATACCATGTTTTTTTCACTTTAACTAAATATTCTTTTCATTTTAACTAAATGTTCTTTACATTTCTATACAATGTTCTTGCCGCTTTTTTTTTTTAACAGAAGTACCATGCGCATGGTATATTCGCCTCCATCTTATTTCCCTTCCCCTGCTACCCCCTTTAATTTCAAGCTTGGGTTTCGGTAAGGTTTCGATCGGTGGGATTTTGGTTCGGCAAAGTGCGTTTTGGTGTGGCACAGTTAGAACATGCATTTTTTTTTCCAACAATTTTTGTTTTCCGCAAATTTTGATGTTATAGTTATTGAATTTGCTTCAATTTTTGTATGAATATTTTTGGTTCAATTTTTTATTTTGTTGGTGAAAATTGCATATGATATCCAAGAATCCAACAATTTGAGTTATAAAATTCTTAAGGAAGCATTGAAACCTAAGTTTCTGGGGTGGGTTTGCCGGTGTTTCTCGATGGTTTCCGATTGCAGGAAAGGGGGAGGCGATGGTGTCGCGGGCAGCGGGAATGGGGAAAGGGGATAGCTGGTCTGTCGTGGGAGGGGGAAAGGGAGAAGGGGTAAGGTCGCCAGCACCGGAAAAATGTGTTAGGCACAGGCCGCCTGCAGGGGAGAGGTGGCGGTGGGGAGGAGGGGCTGACAGTGGTGGGGAAAAGGTTTTATTTTTTGAATTATCAAAATTTTTAAAATGAAAATAGATAAACTATTTAAATTATCAAAAGTTTTTTTTTTTAAAAAAAAACTTAACCAATGATAAGATGACACGTGGATTGCAACCTGGTATAATAGGTCAACTTACCTGCTTGGTTTAATATGGGAGAAAAATTAGAAACTTAGGTTTATTTTGGGCAGATTTAAGGGTTGGTGCATTTTGTGAGAACAGAGCAATGGTTGGTTTGTTGTTGTTAAATATTCCTATTTTTTTTATTAGGTGTAATTTGATAATAACACCAATAAAAAGACACGATTTTGATAATAACACCACAAAAAAAAAAAAAAGTTTTATCATAACACCACCAAAAATTTGGTTCCACCATCCACTAACGGATTTTTGGATGGAAACCGTTAGTGGGGCCTCAAAAGACACGCGTCAATTGTCTATTGGTTAAAAAAAAATTAATAAAAAAAAAGAAAAAAAACCTAACCACTAACCAAGCCAGCCCCACCACGGCACCACCTGCCTAGCCACCGTTGCCGCTGACATCCCCTGCCCTCACTTAATCCGGCGAAACCAGCATGGACTCCACCTCTTCCCTCCTCCCCCCTCCCCGAAAACCACCCAAAACCCTTCAAACCACCGCAAAAACTACCCAGCCTTTTAAACTTCTTCAGCCCGCCGCACAAACCGCCGCGATATCCACCCCTTTCCCCAACCCTTGAAACGACCATTGAAATCGGCGGCCGAAATCGACCAATCGAGGGCTGCCATGGTCGATTTTGACCGTTTTGAGGGTGAAAAGTAAGGGAGGGTCGTTATCAGAGTTGGCGGTTTTTCAGTATTGGCTAGGGTGTTTCAGGGCTGCGGCATCTCAAGTTGGGCTAGGGTGACGGTTTTGACTGAGTTCGGCGATGGTGGTGGTGGCATGATGTTGTTGTGGTTCGGCAACAGTGGTGGTAAGGGCGATGGAGTTATCGAGGGATAGGGCTGGTGGGGCAATGGAGTATACCGGCGGCTTGGTTGGGCTTGCGACAGTGGGGCTGGCCGGCGGTGGTGTTGGTGACTGGGTTAGGGTTTAGGATTTTTTTTAATTTTCCTTTTTTAAACCAATAAACAACTGTCACGTGTACATGGCGGGCCCCACTAATGGATTCTATCCAAAAATCCGTTAGTGGGTGAAACCAATTTTTTGGGATTTTTGGTGATGTTATAATAAAACTTTTTTTTTTTGGTGTTACTATTAAAATCGTGTCTTATTAGTGGTGTTAATAAAAAAAAAAAAACTTTTTATTACTATAGCTCCATTTGGTATGGTTGCTTTTGGCGGGTTGGGGTACTTCGTAGATTTTTTTTTTCATTTAGAATATTTGGTGTGATTAAATATATATTCGATTATGTACTTTTCATTCAAGTGTTTACTTGTTAGGAATTGTGCACAAGTATATATATTGGTTTATAGGTGTTGAAGTGTAACCTTTCTAAATCCTAATGGCACATGTGAGTGTCTTACATACGTTAATGTAAGAAGAGAGAGCAAAACACTTAAATTATAAGCTAAAACTAAGAGATCAGACTACATAATCCTCTTATTGCCATACAATTTTGGATTGAAATCTCCTTAAATTTATGAAGTGAACTACTCCCTCCCTTTTGGTGAAGGGTGTGTGGCTATGTGTAGGGGTGGTTCTGAGCATGTGCAGGGTGGTCGATCGCACGGGGCCCCTAAATGAAAATACTATAAAAGGGCCCTAATATTTGAAATTTACTTATACAAAGTAAAGAGATAACTTGTTAATCAATAATCTATTCTTCAATTTTATCATAAAATTTATAATTTAGTAAAATATTTTTCCTTAAAGAAATGATTTTAGGGCCCAATTTAACAAAATTGCACCGGGCCATTTTTATTGTTAGCATTTGTAGCCCCGCCTCTAGCTATGTGCGGCCCAGACTCATATTTAATAATAAGGGATATGTTTGTTAGTAGCCTTGTTAATTAGTCTCTTTTACTAAGTATAGAAAACGATTAAACTAGGACAATCTTTGTGGGATGGAGTAGTACTCCCCGACTGCTAACACTATATTTATTACACGTGTACAAATTTTTTCCGAAGTACTTTACGTGACTATTTTTTTCGACGACAAATGGTCCATCGAAAGTGCTACTAGTTAAATACTCCACCTCTTTCCGTGTTTTAATAAATGTTATACTTTGACATTTTTCACTATATTCACATAATGGTTTTGACTTGATTAATTTACTAATATATAAAAACAAATGTTATTGTATATTATATTAATGTATATTTTCATATATAACTCAATTTTTCTATAATTTAACTAACATATAATTGGATAAATAAATAGTCAAAATTGTGTCTCGACATGCATGTTTAATCAAAGCGTATCACTTATTAAAGCACGGAGGGAGTAAGGAGAGAGCTAAAAAAAAGCCACATCATAATCAAGAAAAGAAGACACGTAGAGTATATGGTTATATGCATGTCTTACAGCAAGCATTTTCTATGCCTTCTTTCACTATCCCTAGTTGCTACACTCTAGTTTAAGTTGAACTCTCTAGCAATTCTCAAAAGTTATATAAAGTAATATAACTAGTTTTTGAAAGCTTAGAACAAAGAAAAATGAAGGTTGTGTCACCAATGATGTTGGCTCTTATGTTAAGGGAGAAAAGACCTACTAACAATGCCATGATTAGCTATGATATTGTGAAAAATAGGACTCAACAACAACATAGATTGATGGTGGGAAGAGCCAGCAATCGGTCCGGGGTCCATGGCACTCATCTACCTGCTATAGATGACATTGATAATGTATGTTATTACCTCCTTATTAATATGTTACTTTCTTCTTTTCTGATTCATTTTCTGTTTATATAAAAAGCGGGACAGGGGATTTACAGATTATTGGGTCAATCCAGCCTGACCAATATATCGTCAGTTCAACTATTATTTGTACGACAATACACACTTCTCACACACTCATTTTTACTCACCATCACCAACAGTACTCCCACTCGATCCTACTTCACTTTCTCTCTCCTTCCTCACCTTTAACCCACCTCTATTTTCTCTCTTCTCAACTTTCTGCTAAATTCCTCCATTTTATTTGTCCATAATTTATGCTTGAATTGAAGATCGAGGATGGAGAGGAGAGAGAAAATAAAGATTGTTGATTATATTTGTCCATGATTTATGTTTGAATTGTCTTGATAATTGCTCGATATTCTCTGATTTTTCGAAAAATGCCAAGAAAAAATCAATTTGGGGCTTTTTTGTGTGAGGTATAATTGTCGAAATTGATTGTCTTATGTGATTGTATGTTGAATTGTGAGCGTTTAGATAACAAGTGCATGTATTTTGGTTGAGAAATGAGCATGTAATTCTATTGTGTAGATTATATCATTTATAATAAGTTGGATGATATCATCTATAAGTTGGATGATGTCCTCTATAAGTTGGATGATATCATCTATTATGTCTATAATATTATCTATACGATGGATGATATCTCCTCTATTGTATTTTTTTTCCTCCTCTATTGTTTTATGATACGAGTATCTTCTATGCGTTGGATGATATCCTCTATTGTTTTGATAATATCCTCTATTATTTTTATGATGTCTTCTATAAGTTGGATGATATCCTCTATTGGTTCTATGATATAAGTTAGATGATATCATCTATTGTGTATATGATATCATCTATACACTGGATGATATCCTCTATTGGCTACATGATATCATTTATAATTGTGTCTATGATATCTTCTATTGTCCTCTATTGGCTATATGATATCATTTATAATTGTGTCTATGATATCCTTTATTGGCTCTATTGACTATATGATATCATTTATAATTGCGTCTATAATATCATCTATAGGCTGGATGATATCCTCTATTGGCTATATGATATCATTATAATTGTGTCTATGATACCATCTATTGGCTGGACGATATCATCTATTGGCTATATGATGATATCCTCTAACAAATTGTAGTATCCTCTACCAAAGATAAATTGTACATATCCTTTGTCAAATACTACATATCCTATAAGAAACAATACATATCTTACAACAAAACTGTACGTATCCTTATTAAATAACACATATCCTCCAACAAGTTGTACATATCCTCTATAAAATAATACATATCCTGATCAAATATTGCATATCATATATACTTGACGCACGGATTGTTTGGTGCAGCTTGCCGCACCCAATACCTTCTCATTGTAATAAGTAGTGGCATATTAGAAAATCTATTCATGAGTTAAATTTATATGTATGGATCGGAGTAGTATTTGAATAAGGAAATACAGACTGACAGAGTAGTATATGTAACTATTAATCCTTGATATTCTTTGTAGGTGGAAGTGGAGAAGGAGATCAACAAAGGTAAGAAGGATAAAGAGGAGAAGAGAAAAGAAGTTGAGGAAACAGTGGACTCACACCTTAGCCATTCTGGTCAAGATAAATACCCCAAGTCTTCCCCTACCAAATAGTTCAATTTCTTTTTTCTTTTTCTTTTTTTTTTTTTAAAAAAATTATTTTTTTTTTATTTTATTTTAAAATTCCTATTCTAGAAAATGTAAGTTTCTTTGACTTATCGTCTTAGCTCTCTTTGGCATGCATGCATAAGACTATAATAACATGCGTGTTATTGAACAAGAAATTGTAAATTTGTACCAAGTTTCTCCAATAATCTCCATGAGAAATAATATGCTCTTTTCATCTCTTATGGTTCCTAAAGGTGTGAAGGCTAACACAATGTGCTACCATTATTATAAACCATGTACATGTAGTCCATATGTGAGTGCTTTATACTTTTATCAATTTGATTGAAATTAATGGTTATATGGTTGGATCTCAAAGGTGTTCCTAGATTAAACAATATTTTATAAATCGAGTTTAGGAAATTAGTGTGGGAATACCTTTAGGACTAGAGGTGGCAAATTAAATAGGTTATTTAGATCAAATCCATTCAATTAGATTATATCTTGATAAGGAATGTTGCAAGTTGCTTATGATTAATTCCAGTTAAAGTTGTATCAATTTCGGATACAAATTAGGTTGGGTCAATTTCTTATTATCCAATATTGGTGGTGCAGCTTAGATTAGGACAATTTCTAATTATTTAATATCTATCACAATTTAAGTTCATCTTGTCAATTTTGCGAAACAATATGTTCTAATTGTACCTCAAGCTTCATTATTATTAGGTCAAAATATACTACTTCGTATATTGTTTAAAGAACGGTTAATAATATAATGTCTAATTAAGGTATACTATATTGTCTAATCAAGATATAAGGGTGGCTCCCAAGTCCCAAGTTGGTACAATGGCACACACAATCACACATGCACACTCGAAAAGCCACTATTGCAAGTGTGCAATCAAATAGTAATTGTAATTGCATTATTTAAATCAGTAAAACTACAAAATAGGCCCTAGCAACTACTCCAAACGGAGTTATTAATTCAAGTAATAGGTTAACCAGGATATGTAATAATAATAATAATAAATACTAAAAAGTATGAAAGATGATCTAGAAATGTACCAAAAAAAATAATACAAAACGCAACTAATCAAATTGGCGGCCTATGTACCCAATGATCAATGATGGCTGAAGATTAAAGAAGCTCCGTATATTACTATAGTACTTGTTTGAGTCATTCTCAATTTGTTTATTTAAATTTGATTATTTTAGTTGACTTTTCAATTTATGGTACCTTCTAATTTTGTTCTTCTAAATTTACCATTCCATATCCATCAAAATGTCAATTAATTTCTCCTCTTTGTTTCTAGTCAAAATACAAGACTAATTCAATTTTCATTTTCAAAGTTGGCCTATTTGGCCATATGTATAGTCGTTTCCACATTGTCCACCAAAATTCAGTTAATTTGACCCTTTTTATAAAACCATAGTTATACATCATACATGATATAAATTCCCAATTTCCTAAGCCTGATTTAAATTACTTCTCAGTTTCCTTTTTCTTGGAATAAATTTGAAAATTATTGCTCTGTTTTTCTTGCTCTCCAAACTTTTCGCAAATTTCAACACATATAAAGCCCCCTTATTATTACTTTTTTCTGTACTTGATTTGAGTTCAAACAATTTTTTATATGGGTTTTGCTGGAATTCTCACAATTTTTTCAATCTGGGTTGTGCTTTGGATTTTATAAAATTCAAAAATTCCTTTCTGGGTTTTATTCTTCTCTTCAAAATCTCATCTGGGTTAATCTTATTTTGCGTTAATATTGTGTATTTTACTAGAATTGATTGATTATAAATTTATTACAAGCTAAAAAGTGTCAAAAAATGGGGAATATGGATGGAGCGTCACCAGTTTCAATGAATGATGCAACTGCAAATGCGGCCGCTTCAATATCAACACAAATTATGATAGCAACTGTTGTAGTCCTCTTCTTTGTAATAGCCTTTTGTTTCTTCCTTCATATGTATGTTAAATGTTTTTGGGTACGTAATAATAGCGAGGACCCTAACGTGGTGTCATGGCGCCGCCAATTAGCCGGTCAGCGCCGTGCTGCAGCCGTCCCTGCGCATCGCCGAGGTTTAGACCCTGCCGCGCTAAAGTCGTTGCCCGTTGTGGTGTATAATCCTAAAGACTTTAAGGGTGGATTAGAATGTGCTGTTTGTTTGAGTGAAGTGTCAGAAGGGGAGAAAGCTAGGCTTTTGCCCAAGTGTAATCATGGGTTTCATGTTGAGTGTATTGATATGTGGTTTCATTCTCATTCAACATGTCCACTTTGTAGGGATCCTGTGATCTCTACTACTAGTAATTCGTCGTACGATGATGCTAATCATGTTCTTGAGGTTCAAGATGATGATGCTTCGTATTCATCGGATTCAAATTCGGGTTCTGATGATGGGACTTATGATACTCCAAGGGCAGCAGATGCACCTAATTTTCCTACAAATGTTCTGTTTTGGGGTGATGAAACTCGAGTTGGCGCCTTTGGACAAGCTGCAAATGCTGCTGCCTCTTCATCAGCATCTTCTTCTGGTGTCAGTACTAGGCCAAGAATGGATGAGATGGTGATTGATATACCAAGTCGCGAGTTTTGTGAGGATTGCTTGTCCGAGGCGAAAACTCCGGTGATGACGAGGTTGAGATCGTTGAGGAGGTTGTTAAGCATGGGACAGGGGAATAAGGTGGCTCCCTCAAATTGTGAAGTTGATCAGCAAGCTTAAACCACAAATATTGAAGTTTGTTGATTGCAATTTGATCATGTATAGATTTTTATTTACCAATTTTAACAAATTTATTTACTTCGTATAGAAGATGGGTGATTGGTGGTTTTCTTAAATAAAAGATGAAAAACCCCACACCCTCATAGAGTCATAGGGTTCTTAAGTATTTCTTACAATGATTTATTCTTTTGTTAAACGTAATACCACTTAGATTACAAGCTAGATGTTATAATGTTCGTAGGAATACATTGTGTACTTTATGCAAGAGTCCATAATTCGGTCTCTTGAGAATTAAGATTATTATCTTCTTATATTCAACATTGTAACTATGTATGAAATAGTTTGTGCTTTTCTTATGAAGCGGCGTATATACACTCTTAATTTTAAATATGTGTATTAATACGAATTAATTTATCTCGACTCTTTTTTACCATGTCCAAGCTGTATATATACGAAGAATCTTTTTCTCTATTTAAAAAGAAAAAAAATAATTCAAATTCTAATTAATACATTGATTCTCTTCCATCAACTTGGAAAGTTTAATTTCGTTATTGCTGGGGATGAATTGGAGCAAACTCGAGGATGATTCTAGGCATGTGCAAGGTGGAAAGTTTTATTTTGGTATTGTTGGGGATGAATTGGAGCAAACTCGAGGATTATTGCATGTGTAGGGTGATCAAACATAAAGATTCTTAGTTCAAATTATATTTTATCTTAATTTAACATGTGACTTGCTTAATATTGATAAGATCGAAATTTTCTAACTCAAAAAAAAAATGTGAGTCTTATACAAGCCTTTTAAGTATCCTCCCATATTATTGGACCTACTCTTATCTAATAAGAAAGGAGAAAGAACACTTTATCTTAAACAAAAATCAGTTGCTTTTGCTTGTGGGTAGGGGTGTACAAAAACTGGACCGGACCTGAAACCGGACCTGAACCGACCTGATCCGGACCGGACCTGACCCGGACCTGTTGATTCAGGTCCGGTCCCGGTCCTTAAAAATCAAGGTTCCCGATTCCGGTCCGGACCCGGTCTAAACCCGGGGTTTTCAGGTCCGGACCTGAAACCCGGAAAAATTGTATTTTTAAAAAAAAAAAAAAAAAAAAAAAAAATTCAAAAATCAAAATTACGCTGCAACCCTAACAAACAGCTATCTGACTATCTCCATTCTCCAAGACTCCAATCTCCAAACTCCCTGGCTGTCTCCCCCTCTCCCTCACGCTCACTGTCTCCAGTCTCAGCCCAACGCGGCAACGCCCACCGCCGACACCTCCTGCCTTCCTCACTCTCTCAGGCGAAGCCCAGGCGCCCACCGGCCACCGCATGAGACAGCTACTGCGCGATTTTCCATTTCTCCGGTAAGTTATTTTTGGGGTTTTTGGTGGTGAGATTCTAGAGCTTATCTTGAGATCTTGCTGGGCAACAAAAAAAGGAGAACTTTTTGAGCAGCAGAATAGCGAAGAACACCGAAGGAGGCTTGGTTGGGTTGTTCTCTGGGCTAGCGAAGCTGCTGCAAAGTAGCAGAGCAGCGGCGGTAAAGCAGTGCAGCAGCGGTGAAGCGAAGCAGCGGACGGAGAAGTCGAGGTGACTTAGCTGTGTTCTGTAATCCTTCATTTTCTACGGGAATTCAGAGGCTCTGCTTTGATTTTTCTGGGCTGGCAGAACAACGGATCTGTGAAGAAAACCACCTAAGTGAAACAGCAGCAGCGGTGAAGCCGTTTAGTTGGAGTGTCGTTCGTGGTTGCTCTTTCATTGATTTGGTATTCTGAATTTAATTGATTATTTACAACTTTTGCATGTAGAATTTCAATTAATGAGTACTTTGCTAAATTATCTAATTATGTTTGGGTATTTTGTATTCGAAATAATGAATTAAGGTTTTTTATTAAAAAAAAAAAAACGAAAAAATCACAAAACAGGTCCATTCAGGTCCAAACCTGGACCGGACCTGATTTTTCAGGTCTAGCCCAGAACCGGACCTGTTAATTCAGGTCCGGTCCCCGGTCCTCATAATTACCCAATTCAGGTCCCCGGTCCAAACAGGTCCGGTTCAGGTCCGGTCCGGTTTTGGACCGGTGTACACCCCTACTTGTGGGAGTATAGTTCTTTCATCAGCACATACATAATACATGCATTAATATATTTATCCATTTTGAATTAGGGGAAGTCATGTCACTTTGCTGTGCTGATTTTAAAATTTATAATGATGTATTAATAGTCATTGCTTTACATAAGAAAATAATTATAATTAAGGGGACGTCATTTTTCTTTTGTTGCAACTTGCAAGTCTTGTAACATCTCTCGTAATTAGGAATTGGTTTGACTAACGAATGAAAATTTGGGGATAATGATCCACATCAACTGGGAAAATGATTGCAAGAAGTACTTTTAAATGGTGATTTTATTTTACTTTGAAAAGTTCATGCTAAAAAGCCAAGAAAAAAAATAATTAAACATAAAACTTGATTAAAAAGGAATAGATAAATAAATAAATAAATTATAGAGGGCAAATTTGCTACAAACTCTGTTTCAGGTTCTGAAAAAGTTCATTTTTACCACTTAGAAATCTTTGTAATTAGAGAATAAGTACTAGTATCATTAGGAATGGCTCTTGCCAATCTTGTGACTTAGTCTCACTTAATTTAGTTGGTCAACATTTTGTAAAGAGTTTAGACTTTCTTTTTTCAAATTTTGTATCATCCAATAATTTGGTCCAACTTGACTATCAATGTCAAATATATGTATTTTACTTGGATTGATAACTTGACTATCAATGTCAAAAGGCTGCTCTATAGCAAAATATTGTGCAATTGAATTACCATCTTACTCCAATAAAAAAAATCGCGAAAAAAAAAAAAAAAAAATTTAAACAAAAAGGGTCCTTTTAACATAACCTTATTTGGTTGACTCATGTCTAAATTGGGTTTATTACTCCCTTCGTTTCGCATTAGTTGCAACATTTTTCATTTTCGACCGTTTCATATTAGTTGCAACACTACTATATTTGGAAAGGACCTACCATGATTTTATAATTTCTCTCTCCCACTAACCTCACTTTCACAAATATTTTATTATTTCTCTTTCCTACCAACCCTACCCACATTACTTTTTTATTTTTATTTTTTTATTTTATTTATTTTATATTATTATTTCTATCTCTTACTATTTTACTAATAATACTTTATATAATAAGCCTATAACTCTAGCCTATAATTTTCTTAAACTACGAGTCAGGCCTACTGTTACAACTAATGCGAAACGGAGGGAGTACCATTTTAATCTTAACTCTGCGTTTTGCCAATAATAGACATCTATTAGTTAACGTTCACCTGACAATAATTCCTTCAACCTCTTCCAAATGGTCACAGAATACCTATGTTGCCTTCTACTCATCACATGCATACTACTATACGAGTAATCTAACATAGTTTAGGGATCGATTCATGTCTACTTATCTAAAAGATACTTGTAAAAGATATTTTGTACAAATTATTATTAGACATATAATTAATTCAATTAATTGTATGTTTAAAACGTCTCATTTATTAGACATATAATTACTTCAATTAATTGTATGCTCAAAACGTCTCATTTTATTAGACATATAATTACTTGGATAAATTGTATATTTAAAACGTCTCATGTTGACTATGTATTCAGCATTAGGGAATGTCTTAGTTACATACTACCTTATGCTTCTCCGGAAGAAGTTAATCTAAATAATCGACTTTACACATGTATAGTCAATTCCGATATATAATCGACGTTTATTGACATGCACAATATTCAATTCAGATTGTAACTTATTTATAGTCTTACAAGAAAAATAAAAACCATGTGCCATAGCATTATTGCATTAGTAGTACGAGTAAGTAGATATAGAAGTACTCCTTATAAACCGCACAAAATAAATGCTTTGGTCCTTAGTCAAACTAGTCACAATCATTGGAAGAAAGCTTGAAGCTTGTTTAATTTGGTATAGGGAATTCGGGAGAGAATAGATTAGCATATAGTCTAGTGATTTAACAACAAACTAATGACAAGGCCTTTAATAAGCACAGAAAGGGCAAACAAAGGTGTAAGCAACCACGAAAAGCTTACAATAATTTTTTTAAAAGAAGTCGAATGTCATTAGAATATATTTAATCTAAAGTTCTCAACCATTTATTTTAAAATAAAAACCAAAACTCAACAATAATAACTCCGGAATAACAAAATTAACAAGATGGTCCATATGCATAGCATTGACTATTTATTTTCCTAGGACAAATCTATCCTAACCAACCAAGCAAGCCATACACTTGCTACATACCAAAAGTTAGTTAAGGAACTGAGTAAACAGGACCATAAGTTTTGGCATCATATTCAGGCTCGTTAAGCTCTAGGTTAACATATGGTATGTCATCCTCCCTCTTCCTCTGATGAAACATGTTAGTGAGTGGCCCCGAGAACGCAAGGCGGGGCCAGTAACCACCACCAATGGCGGTTGCAGCTCCTCCAACGCCGCCATGAATGGGGCCCGATACATTGCCACGTTGCTTAGGAGTTTCCTTAGCCTGCTTCTTAGCCTTCTTGGTTGATGATGATTTCCAAAATGAAAGCAAGGCAGTTTTCCATGACTTTTTGCCACCCTTTTTCACTCCACTTGAACTCGCTTGTTTTTTGCCACTTTTTTCTTCGATTGCTTGCTCCTGTTTCTTCTCTTTAGCATATTTCTTAGCCTCTTCCAAAATCTGCTCAGATAACACAAAACAAATGAAAACTTTTGAAATAAATTTAACAAGTCCGACACCCAAGACTTGAAAATCCTGGCTTCACCCTTGTGTATGTATGTATGTATGTATATATCGCTTATACTACGTAGTATAAATAAAGGAGTCACTTTTGTCACAATTCTATGCATTTCAATATATAAAAAATAAAACACGAATTATTTAATAAAAAAATATTCACATTTAATGTCACGATTATTATTTTATGCAAAGAATGTATCCTGTGCTAATGCACGGGTTCAATCAAGCATAGGAGAATTGAATTGTTATTTTTACTGACCTCTTTGAAATCCGTCTTGACATCATATTCACTGCTGTTCCTGCCATTGTTCGCGGTGTTGAAAGACTCGAAACCAGGAAAAACGGAGGAATCCTTCATTTTCTCTGCCTAAAAAAGGTTAAAAAGCAAGATTAGTTTGATTTCCTGAATTTTACCAAGGAAAATGAGATGTGTATAGAGTAAAAAGGACTAACCTTTGATGAACCTCTTTGTTTTTCTTGAGTTGTAACCCAATGTACTTAAGTTAGTATAAAAAAAAAAGTCAATAAATAGAGTTGAGAAATTAAAAAAATAGAAGTAAATCTATATTTCCATGTTAAGAAAAAGGAGGATGATTTTCTACCAAGTTTTATTTTGTTTGATCAAATTGGTAGAATTTATTTTTATTTTTATTTTAATTTTTTTTATTACAGCTATGTACCAATTAATTATAAGGATTGTTAAAGGTTATTTGGGAAGGTGAAGAGTGTAGCAATTGGCAAATTAACCCCACATTTTAAGGAATCGATCATATTAGGCAAAATATTGTGGCCAGCCAACTCAGTCTTTGTTGAGTAGAGGGAAAGGTATAATATTGGAAACTTGGGTTCCAATATTTCCTGAAAAAAAGACGAATCAATCAATTCCTGGCGCGGAGCTTGCTGCTTTTCATTTTGCCAATGTTGGCCCGTAAACCCTTTCTCACAACCAAAAGCATAGCTTAAGCTATTACAACCCTTTTTTCAGTTGCTGTAGTTGGTAGTAGCGATAAACTGGTAGAATTATTCCAAGTATTTCAGCTGGAACAGCTATCCAAACCTATCCAAGGATTCGGCCTCAAGCGCTTATTCTTAGGCCTTTCCAGTGAGCTTTCTCTCAAAGCTCTCCCACCTTAGCAGTTTTTCCCGTTTGTCGGTCCCCGATTATAAGTTCTCGGAGAATCAAGCGACAGCGATGACGGGGCTGCTAGCAGGTCAACAGTAGGTCTCCCAAGATACATATGAGGCCCAGAGCACAGCGCTACTAAGCCTGAAGGGACCTCGTCTAACTTTTCTCCTGATTAACGGTACGACAGATATTTGTACTATTTATAAAGATACGATCGTATCACTATATTATGGAAAGATATAAATAGTATTCACATGACTTTTTATAAGTGAACAAGCCCAATGTTATATACTAGGCCCAAAGTTTTGAGCTCTCGGTTTTCACAATTGAGGCACAACATTTTTTTTTTCTTTTTTTTTTAATGCTTAATGTGCCATAAGGGCGAATGATGAGAATAGATCCCAAAATTTCTAAAACCCGGAATAAAACTCGAGCTATCCCTCACTTTCGAGGCACAACATATTTTCATTGCACATTTACCATAACTTAAAAGAATTTCTTTTATATTCAAGAAATACCATCTATTAGATAAGGCCAATTGTAAATGAATCACAAAGAAAAAAAAAAAAAAAAGGTTTTATCATGACAATGAGAGAATTTGTTAACCTAATGTCTCATCCCTTTTCAACCACTAGTCCCCCCCCCCCCCCCTCTCTCTCTCTCACTCTTATCATTTGGACACATGAATTTCCTTTGACATTGAGATATATAGTTTGCGGATAATTGAAAATGGCACTTCTTTATTATAATTTGATCTGAACCAAAAAATCATATTGATATAAATCGTAGTTGTTTTGATGTAATTAAATTTTTTCATTTTCAATTCGATACACGATCGTTCATTAGCAATTATCATAAGATTGGAATGTACCATTGTTTGATAAACTTAAGCTATTGTCTCAACGTTAAAAAATATTTGCATGTTATTATTCTAGTCTCGTAAGATATTATGTTTTTTCAGACCTCAATCAAACTCTTTAAGAAAATTGAATCATTACATAATATTGGTCTATTATTTGGAAAAACTATATAGCTAACATATTAGTCGTAGTACGTCCATTAAAATCACCTTGATCCATTATAATTCTGTCAATGATTGTACTAATTTGTTCTCATGTTTGAATAGATAAAATACACTACTAAGTACCATTAGCAATTATGGTTGTAATAGGGAAAATGCATTTGATAACCTATATTATCTTATGTTTGAAAACTTAAAAAATTATGAACTCATAAGCAAATATTTTTGAAGGAAGAGTTGGTATATGATAGATGTTTATTTTTTGACTAATTAATTATTTTGGATTTTTTTTGTGGTACAACTTTAACTATTTTAATAACTATTTGTGTCATCTCTACGTTTAAGTATTGATTTTCACTAACATATTTTTCAAACTATGCGATGTTTATTTGTTCCCCCAGTTTGAAATTTCTGGTTCCGCCACTGTCTACACTTCTAATTTGTTTGTATGCCATATTATAAAGAGTAAATTTTACTTTATTTCTAAATTGGGGAGAATCTAAGACAAAATTTTCGACCAAATTTAAAGGTCTATGTCATGTCACATTAAAAAATCTGTATTTGAAAATGATAGTGCTCAATTTTGTAGCAAATTGCAAATTTGGATAATATCAACGTATTGGAGTCCGTTTCCATGGTAAATACCGATCCAAATGTTCCAGATTTTGCGATGTTATTCTTTTAAAGCATCCGTGAACTTATTCGATTAGAACTCTATATATTTTTAAAAAAAGATAACAAAGGGACATTTGAGGGGTGAGATAATGAAAATCTCTTAATTTAAATATCATGAGGTTTCCCTAAACCTCATAAACATAAGTGCGATGTCATTATTCACTGTCTCAACCTTAGCTTACAGTAAAACCCTACAATTATAATATCGTGTTTACAACAAAAGAAACAAATAAAAGGGATATTATTTAAACATTTTCAATACCTATATCTATATTACGAAGTAATATATTGAAAAGTGTTCTAAGTCCTAACATTGTTGTTGCTAACTATGCTAAGTATTGAACAAGTGATATTTCTTTAAAAAAAAAAAAACTAGATTAACTACCATTTTATTACGACATCAACGATTAATGATTTAAAAAAAGTAATAAATTATTACAAATATTACTTGTTGGGCTATGAATTGGGCCGCTACAAGGCCCAAAATTACACTAGGGAGATTGTGAAAGAAAATATGAAGATAGATTTTTTGGAAACTTGAAGATGAAATAATGTGAGTTAATATCCACATTTTAATAATTTATGTATTTATGATGTTCAAAATATATTTACACAATTATACGGAGTATTAGTATTACCAAAGTAAAGCCACAGAACAATAGAGCCATTTAGTAAAATCAAAGAGTGGTTTGTATTGAACGGACTCTACTGTCATACAAATTATTGGTGATATACATGCTGCTGCTGCTACTGCTACTTTCACCACAGTATACAATCATGACATCAAGGAGCAACTAGTTGAAGGTTTATCTACATTGCTTCTATCAAGTATTCTGGAAGCACCTAGATAGTTCTAGAACCTTCTATAGTTTGTTACGAGCTCTTGTACAACTCAGCATTCTGGTACAACAGAATGCCAGGTCAGAATTCTGTTGTATTATAGCTAATTTTATTGTTGTAATAATTTTGTATACTTAGCTATAAATAGTCCTAGAGCTGTGATATTTTTCATACATTCAATAATAAAAAAATTCTTTCCCCAAACTTTCTCTCTATTTTCTCTCTCAACTTCTGCTAATACATTGAAGAAAACTGAAAAAATTCTACTTAGATTGCATATTTCAACATGGTATCAGAGCTTTTTTAGCTCGATCTTGATGAAATTCAAGCTTCCGCAGATCTTCGTTGATTGATTTTTAATTCAGAATAATCATATCAAATTCGTTTTTGAGGTATCACACAATTCCAAATTGCAAATCTCCTGCTTAATTACAGCTAGTTTTCTGCAAATTGTTGATTGTTTTTTGCTTGATATAATCTAGAATTCCAGTAGTTCTTGATCACATTTTTGAGATCATCATCTCTTTTGATTACTCATATCTACAAATTCCTCACAAAATTTTAAGCTTAGAAAATCTGTAATAGATATCAATGGCAGCACAAAATCACATTCCACTTCCAATTGGTCAAGATCCTTCTTCTCCTTACTACATTCATCCTTTTGATATGAATTCCATGCAATTTTTTACGAACAAATTCAATGGAGAAGGATTTACTGACTGGAAGAGAAGCATGACTATTGCTCTTTCAACCAAAAACAAGTTAGGCTTTGTTATCGGTTAAATTCACAAACCTAATCCTGAAGATGTGACATACAAACAATGGGAGAGATGCAATGATATGATCATCTCTTGGATTTTGTACAACTTAGATACTACTATTGCTCGTAGTGTCTTGTATCTTAATATTGATGCTGAGATATGGAAGGATCTGGAAGACATATATGGTTATACATCTGGTCCTCAGTTGTATTCAATTGAGCAACAATTGTTAGATGCTCACCAAAATGCATATTCAATCGCTGCATTTTTCACAAAGATGAAAATGCTATGGGATGAGTTAAATGCTGCTAGTCCTTTCCCTATATGTATTTGCAATCAATGAACTTGTAATCTCACTCAAAAAATACTCAAGCTACAACAAGATCAGAGACTGATGCAGTTTCTTATGAAGCTCAATGAGCATTATGCTGTTGTCCGAGGCAATATTTTGATGATGAATCCCTTACCGAACCTCAGCCAGGCATACAGGTTATTGATTCAGGAAGAAAGACACAGAGAACTCAGCAACTTACACAACTCTAACCAAGGAAATTATGATTCCATGGTTTTTGCTTCAACTAGAAGGTTTCAAGATAGGCTGCAGAACAAAGGTTTCAGGCAACCTAAATACAGATTAAGTTGTCAAGCTAACAACAATAATAATGCCAGTGACAGGAAATAATAAGTGATTTGCACCAACTTTTTGCAATCATTGCAACAGGCCTGGTCATTCAGTTGTCAATTGTTGGAAGTTACATGGCTATCCAGATGATCTCAAGAAGAATGTGTAGCAGAAAGGGAGAGGAGTTGCAGCAGCTGCTCAACCAACTGAGTCAGGTAATGATGCTGCTCAAGAAAGCCAGTCAGATCAAGTTTCAAGTCCAGTTATCACTGTTGATCAGAACAATCACCTGCTGGAATTACTTAACAAGCAAAATTCAAAATCTACAGGCACTCAAACTTGAATTTCTGATGTTGATGCTCAGGCTAACCTAGCAGGTAAAATCTGTCTTACTACCTCTCTAAATGCTGGTTGGCTAGTTGATAGTGGTGCTACAGACCACATTTGCACTAATCTGAACATGTTCCCTACTTTTAAAGAGCTTCATGGCATAAATAACTCAATTACTATTCCAGATGGTAGTAAGATTAATGTCCTGCACATTGGTAGTGTGATTTTAAATGGTGACAATGTATTGCATGTTCCTGATTTCAAGTTCAATTTGCTATCTGTTCCCAAATTATGCAAGGATATGAACTGCAAAGTTTTGTTCACACATGATGTATGTTTTGTTCAGGACCATTCTCAGAGTTCAATTCTTCTTGGTAGACTGCATGCTGGTTTATACTATGTTGAAGATCAGAAGTGTTCTGCAAGTCTTTCTTTATCTAGCAATTTTCTCACAAGTTGTAATTATACTAGTTGGACTCAGGCTAGTAAAAATGCCACTAAGATAGCTGAATTATGGCATCTTAGGTTAGAGCATTTACCTTTTCATAATTTCAAACATGTATTACCTTGGCATATTAAGGACTGCACTGACAGTATCTTATGCAAGGTTTGTCCTGCTGCTAAGCAAACTGGGAAATCCTTTCCTAAGAGTACAATAAAGAGTTGTAAGCCTTTTGAGTTGGTTCATATTGATGCATGGGGTCCTTACAAGGACATAACATATAATGGGTATTGTCAATTTTTTACTATTGTTGATGATTTCACAAGATACACTAGGGTTCATTTACTCAAATTTAAGAATGATGCTGTGAATGTTATGATGAATTTTGCTCATTATGTTCATACACAATTTGACTCAAAAATCTTGTGTGTGAGGTTTGATAATGCTCAAGAGTTGACTGAAGGAGCAATGAAGCTATGGTACACCCAAAATTGCATAATTCATCAAACTAGCTGTGCAGACACTCCACAACAGAATGGAGTTGTAGAACGCAAACATAGGCATCTTTTGGAGACTGGAAGGGCTCTGAGTTTTCAATCTAACCTTCCTAAAAGATTTTGGGGAGAAATCATTCTTTGTGCAGCATATTTGGTTAACAGAATGCCACTAAAAAGCATTGAGTACAGGACACCATATCAGAAACTTCACATTGGTCCTGCCTCAATTGAACATTTGAAATGTTTTGGTTGTCTCTGCTATTACTCTACATCAAAGGTTCACAGGAGCAAATTTGATGCTAGAGCTTCCCCATGGGTGTTTATAGGATATGCCTTACCCCAAAAAGGATACAACGTGTTGGATCTTTCCACCTACAAAATCCATATCACTAGGGATATTGTTTTTCATGAACATCATCTTCCCTTTCACTTCAAAAGTTCAAACACTACTTCTCCAGTTCTTTTCTTACCTAAATACACTACTTCTCACATTGAAATTCCCGAATCCTCTCACCTCTTTCCTCCTGCTATAGAAATTCTTCATCCCAATAACCATCAATCTTCACTTGTTACTTCACATACAGATACTTCTTCTATACCTGTTTATGTTCCAGTTGATATTCCTACATCTCAGGTACCTCCTATCAGACAATCCACTAGACCTTCTAAGGAACCTTCCTCGATGAAAGACTACAAATGTTATTCATCTATAAATCATTGGTGCAACCTGATTTCTTTCAACTCCCTTCCTGCTAAATCAAAAACCATTATCAGTTCTGCTGCTCAAATGGTTGAGCCTGTTTCTTACTTAGAAGCTTCCCAAGACACAAATTGGGTTTAAGAAATGAATAATGAGATTGCTGAACTTGAAAGAAACTCCACCTGGGATGTTGTTTCTCTTCCTGCTTCTAAGAAAGCCATAGGCTGCAAATGGGTTTATAAGTTGAAGCTCAAGTCTGATGGCACTTTGGAAAGGTATAAAGCTAAACTAGTTGCCAAGGGTTTCACTCAAAAGTATGGGGTTGACTTCGAGGAAACATTTTCCCCAGTTGTAAAAATGTCTACAGTTAGGTGTGTTCTCTCACTTGCTGCTGCTCAAAAATGGCCACTACACCAACTAGACATCAACAATGCTTTTCTACATGGGGAATTGGATTAGGAAGTTTACATGAAAATGCCTGAAGGCATTGCCAACCCAGAAAATAAATTCTGCAAGCTAAGAAAATCTCTCTATGGCCTCAAACAAGCTTCAAGACAATGGTTCTCCAAGTTGCATAGTGAGCTGGTTTTGCAAGTTAAATACAGTCCAAGAATGACTATTCTTTGTTCTTAAAGAAAATCAATGATGATTTTACTATAGTGGTTGTTTATGTTGATGATATCATCATAACAGGAAGTGATACATCAGAAATTCTTAAGCTGAAAGCTCATCTGGATGCTACTTTCAGCATCAAAGACCTTGGCAAGCTCAATTATTGAAGTTACTCATCTTGAGGATGGTATTGTTCTTACTTAGAAAAAATTCACCAAGGAATTACTTTCTTTTTGTGAAATGGATGTTTCAAGGACTGCATCTACACCTCTACCTATAAATCTCAAGCTTCTAGCTGATGTTATCGCCTGAAACTCGAATTAGGGGAACAACAATGGACCCCAATTACAGAGGCGGGGACTCGAACGAGTTATCGCCTGAAACTCGAGGACCAGACGGGGAGGTTAGAGAACCATCCGGCGGTACCCCCGTCACCCCAAGCGATAGCATTCTAGGCTCCTACAATGAGGAGACCTCTCCGGCTGAGGAGGTTGAGCAGCCAGGAGCTGCCAATGATGCTCCCAACTCCCCAGCCGGCTCCAGCTACTTAACCGTATCGGAAGATAGCGAGGAGGCGGAGAGGCCTTCGTGACAAAGCCGAAATGACCCTCTCATGATCGCCGTCTCCTTAAAGGACCGCGCCCTCATGCGGTCTTCCCTTCTGGACTTTATTACCAGGCGGCCGCTTGGTGAGGGGTACAAGATGATCGTGCCGGGGGAGTTCGGGACGGTCGTATGGGAAGATGACCAGCCCAATGCTAACAGCTGGTTTGGATGCTACGAGGCGGCTTTCCTAGCCGGCGTCCGCTTCCCTCTTCATAACACAATCAGGGCCATACTTAGGGGGTATGGCCTTGGCATTTGGCAGCTCACCCCAAATTCTTGGGTGAATATCTTAGGGTACATCGCCGCCTGCGAGATGCAGGGTCTCAACCCCGGCTGGGAGGCGTTTGCCCACATGCACTATTTGAGCCGGAGCCCAGGCGGCTGGAGGGCCTGGTATACCTTGACTACTCACCCCAAGTACATGATGACCTTGGACAAGCCGTCCAAGTGGTCGGATTGGAAGAACCGGTTCTACCTGGTCAAAGCTCCGTCTGAAGAGGAGAACAAGGAATACCGGACCTACAACCGGAAGCCAGAGCTTTTGGGGCAAAAGTGTCGGCTGCCCCCTGTCCCTGATAACGACTGACTGGCCATTCTGGACTCCGGTTTCTTCGAACTGACTTCTACCTCTCTCACATCCTGAGAGATAATAAGGGTACCCAAGAACTGGGTGCCCAAACACGAATTTTTCAAGGACGAGTGTTTCTTGTCCGCCTGCAGGCTTAGAAAAATGTGGAAAACCAAAGGTTAAGAACCCTAGCCGGTTAATTTTGTTGCCGGCTCCCCTTCTTCTCTTGATTGCAATGTAATTCATATTTCTGACCGGATGTATTTTCGTTTTGCAGAAGAAGCTAAGAAGATGCTACCTTTCGCCAAGACACCCGCAAGGAAGGCTTCAGATATCCGCAAGGAGAATCTGGAGAAGAAACTTGCCGCTCAGGCGGCTAAAAAGGTTAGACCGCCTGACCTTCTCTACGTGCTTGGCTTTGATGTCGCTTTGGCTAGTTATTCATCTAACCGCTTGTGGTTTTGTTTCAGGATGGGGGTGTTATTCCCCGCTCTTTACAAAAACAGATCCGGCAAAGGCCGTCTGTTGAGGAACCGGCACTCAAGGTGCCAAAAACTGCTTCTACCGACCGGGCTACAACCGGCGGTAAAACAATAAAGACCCCAGGCGGGTCTAACTCTGAGAAGGCCTTAGAGGCCACTCCAATAAGGACCGCAACCGGTCCATCTGCTTCTGGAAGCCAAAAGGCTTCCCAAAAAGGTACAAACCCTTTTGATCTCACATTGCTCGACATACCCATGCGGGTAAAATCGTACTCCTCTTCGCAGCCGGGAGATTCTCCGATCAGCCGGCTGCCCGTTGGTGGAGCATACGCAGCATTCTCACCATCTGTTTCTGGTGCAGATAACTCACCACGCTGGCCGGACGCTGCTCAATACGCCCGGGCCATGCTAAAAGCCGTCCCCCGGGACGAGAAGGAGGCGATTCCTGGAATCAATACCTTCAATGCCGACCGGGTTATGGTCG